ATTTTATTCACCATACTATATATTTTAGGTTTTTGGATTTTTAAAATCAAGATGATAAATTTACATAATTGTGAAAACAATTCGAACATGATAGGACGTCTTTGACAATGTTAACAATTAACAATGTAATGTTAGTTTTGCTTTGATATAAGTAAAGGCTACCAATAGAAAGAAGTAGACAAGTAGGCGGGCGGGTCGGGTTAAATTTGACCCGTAATCCCGGATTTGATTTTCAGTTCCCCATTTTTTGTTTCTCCCTCCTAAGGCCCATTTCTCTTTCGAGAAAACGGTGACAAAATTCGTAATTACACTCATTACTAAAACTAATTTGAAAATTTGAAAAATTGCTCAAAATTGAGTTTGTCAACACATCTTTATCATTTTTTGTTATTTTTTTTTACTTATATTACTCTTAAACAAAAAAAAAATTATACAGTTTTTTTTTATAAAAAATACTATAATTACAAGAACGTAAAGATAGACACTTCAATATATTGAAATATTACAAAACAAATTCGCGCGTTAACGCGTAGATAATAAAAATCTTTATTACAAAATATAATTCTTTGATAGTAATGTTTACGGGACTATATATATTTAAATATCAATTGTTTAAGTTCAAACATAGGTTGATAACCCGTAAATTTTTTTTTTAAAAAAAATAGAAAACAAAATCACATCATTTGTAAAAGAAAATAAAGATAAGAGTGATGACATTGATGTGAAACCAATGATAATGAAATCTAACAATTATTTATTTATTTTAATTTTTGTAATTTTCTTGTACTATTTGATTTTCAACTAAAAATTATCACATTTTCGAATAGCTAATTTTTTCTATTTCTATTCGAGTTAATTTGTTTTTTTTAATTATGTAACTTTCCAAACATTTTGTTTTTAAAATCCTCTTGAATTGATTCTTATATTTCAAGTTGAATTAAAACTACTCATGTTTTTCTAATATTTTATTATTTTTTAATGAGAAACTATTTTTCTTTCAATAATGGATTATACGTATTTCATCACTTAGAAACGTTAAAGTATGACTGAATTAGGTATAACTTTGTGTGACCTCAAAGATGACTATTTTCTACAAATTGTAAGAACATATCAAAGGACCAAATATTTGATATTTATACTTAATCACTAAAACCACATTGATAGTACCAACCTTAAGTTAAGTAATTCAAATATAATTATGAATCATAAATTTACATCTTACAAGACGTTCTAGCTTTACGTTCGGCACAAAAAGATAAGGTTTCAGGCGAAGGATGAGGAGATGTAAAGTCTTTAGAACACAAAAAACAGAATATTATATAGAACGTCTTTCTTTATTAAGTTTAGAAACTTCTTAAAACTAAAATCCACAAATCTCTCTTGTGTTCTCTCTTACAATTATCATAACTCGACAATGGTATTTATAGTATTAGCTTCACCTTAAACTAATCGTATTCTTAATCCTACTAGTAAATAGATAACTCCTAATCCAAGAAGGAATACAATTAGCTTATCTAATCTTTAACCTGACTTGTCAAAGATATCTTAAGCCCCAAGCTATTCAAGAAGCTTATCCAACAAGATGATCAAGCATCCACCAAATCTACAATTTCCTTACAGAACAAAACAAAGAGATGTAGAAAAGTGCGGTGTTAGATTGCGAAACACAATATCTACACATCAATCAAAGAAAAAAAAAATACTTCAAAAACTTTGTCGACTTCCGACTACAATAAGCGACTTAATCCATGTTTAGAAAAGAGTGGAATGGAGATGAAGAAGACTGTAAAGAGTTAAAAATTCGACGGCATGATTGGTGGATAATTTTGACTTCAAAAATACTTTCTTCAGTAGAGCTATCAAAAGGCTTGTAGCATACAAATGGGTTCAGTCTAAAACCCATTTGTATCACGTGTTTAACTTTACCGAGGCAAATGTGCAAACATAAGCAAAGAGGGAGAAAGAAAGAAAGAGCGTGCAACCTCTTTAGGGGAATGGACATGAGATTTGATAGATTGACGTCTATGGTAAGAGTTTGCAAGAACTTCAATTCTCCGGCGTAAAAAGTATTCTCTAAAGAGGAAAATATCAGAGATGCCTCGGGTTTTGAAGTAATCAACGTTTTCATCAAGATGTTTCATCCCTAACCACATGAAACCATATGAAACAAGCAAGGTAATATGAAAAACCATGTCAATTACAACTATAACAATTGTTTTGGTTCACAAAAAAGAAGAATAAGAATTGTTTCAAAAAACCAACATATGCAATTAAAAAGTAAAAACACAAATTAAGGCTATTGCAACTCGAGTCATCTTTTAAAGAGATCTTTAACCATAGGGAAAAAAGGAAAAACATGTCTTAAGGCGAGGTATACAAACAAAAGTCAATACAATTGAATCTATTGACTTTTCACCTGCATATACAATCTCACCACACTTCCTACCTAAAGCCAAAAACGAGTCTCTAGATTGCAGCTTTTTTAAACTGTACGTAGCAAACAAGCACTACGTATGGAACTTGAAAAAAAAAAAACCGAAAGTAAATGGTAAAGACTACGAAAGTAATGGTGATTTCGAAGACTATAGGAAATCAGCATTTGCTGTCCTCTTGAGGAATGGTGAATGTCCATCCTGGAAAATCCGACTCCTCAAACAGAGATGTTGGAACCGTTTCGTAGAACGCTAAAGGAACTTGGAGTGATATTCTTTCCATCTGCAAATTTTTTAAGACCTCCACAGTTAGTTTGTCTGATGGTATTGGTTTTGCACATCTATCTCTACAAGGAGCTTTATCATATAAACCAGCGCCACATTACCTCTTCCCCGAATATAGTGGCATATGAACCAGAGCTGAAATCTTCTATTTTCTTTTCAGTGGTCTTTGATCTGATGGTTAGCTCAGTTTCTAGCGATGAAACAAACCTACGCAAGAAAACAAAGATATCAAGGAGATGACCAAATTTAAAAACTTTTTAAAGAGGACAGATATTATTGTTTTGGCGAGTAAATATACCTTGAAACTGGTGGGTAGTAATGGTGACGCAAAGTGTCCATCTCCCAAAAGAAACTTTCTGTAACGATTAGTTTTGGGATTATCAAAAAAAAAATGAATATCATCAGTTGATTATAGAAGGCTCCTACAAAATGTCTAAACAAGAAACCAACTCACAGAATGGAAAATAACAACACCCTGTTTTTGAGCTTTCAAAATGACCAGAGCTTTACTTTATGTATGAATCTATATAAACCAGGCATTCTTATCAAACTTAGATATCTTATCTCGTTATGCTACAAACCTACCATCCAGAAACTAAAAATCTAAAAGCATACCCCATGGTAAACTTTCTTTTGGATGAATCATGCTTTCCACATTCCAGTTAAAATTATGTACTAAAAGACGTGGGAAATCTAACTGGGAATGTCAAAAATACTTACTCATGGGATCGGATTTCTCAGGTTGGCTGTCATTGTGTTCAATAGCTTCATTGGCGTTTTCATCGGTTCCCTGCACAAGAGTTACCTCATTTGTAAGTCCATGCTTATTACACATTCTTTTGTTTGGTTGTGAAAATATCACACAAAGCAAAGTCATTTTCCAATCTCATAACATGTTTTTGCATTTTCAAGCACTGACAAAAATAGGCCGTACCGCAAGATGGTTGATTGAAGGATGTCTTTGCAAAAGGTTGTAGATCAAAGCCATTATAACCAACGAGTCGGAGGGAGGAACAGAAAGTGACAATCTGCTTAGTTTCTTTGTTAATGAAGCTGCCATATATGCTGGAAGCAATGATGACTTCAGGCAATTATCAAGAAGCTGCAGAAAGAGTAAGAGTTTCACATATAAAGGGAAAGATAACAGATTATAATCAGTAATCCATTGGTAACTCAAAACCGGCAATACCTGAAGAAATCTTGCTCGGTGCTTTCCAACAAAGACGGAAGGAACCAGTAGCGCAGAGAGTTGATCATAAAAGTTGGGATATTCTAAACCATATTTGGTCATGAGGATGAAGAGGGTGCTAAGAGCCATCACACTGACAACTCCCCCAACGTCATATGATTTGGTTAAGAAGTCGCTGCAAGTTTTCAGGTACAGTGAAACATGTATAAATGTTTATCAGAGGACAAGACAGATAGAAGTTTTGGTAAATATCCCCACCGTAGAAGTTTTAGCATTGCAGGATGGAGAATGACTATTTCCATTAATGTTCCCAAAACAGTTTCCTAAATTCATCGACACAATTAGAAACCAAACGAAACAATTAGAAACAATAATCATTGCTAGAAAGTTACCCTAAGAGTATCTTCGAACTGTTCAGAAACGAGAACATCGAGTAAAAGCTTCACGAACTCGTCAAAATTTGATCTAAGCCAAGTCTTTGACGAATCATCGCCGTCTTCGGAGCCAGGGCATTTCGTTGAAGAAGAATGCGAAGAAGTCGAATGAAGCTCGGAGATAAGAGGAGTGAAATAGGAACGGAGATAGTCGAGAGATTTCACCACGACCGAAGGCTCAGATTCCGGCGAGATGAAGGAGATTAGGAGAGGAAGGTTATCGGTGTGGGTTCGTGGAGAGAGTAGGTCCCGACCTAATGACGTGATGTCTTTTAAAGTGTATTCCCCTTTCTTCTTCGTGAGAATCGACGCCATTGTTGAGCTCTCGCTTCGAGGAAGGAAGAAGGAGCAAAACCTCTTGTAAACCCTTAAAGTGACAGAAATAACAAATGACCCCAATTTTTTTTTTTAATCAAAACATAAAAAAAAACCAGACAAATTCAAATAAATTACAGACCCAACCAGGATCAAAACCGACCCATTCCGAGTAAATCGGATTTAACCCCCACGATCCCGACCACGACGGTCCGTTAATGAACAATAACTATTCAACAAGCCTTTATAATAAGCAGGTCCATTAATTTCCCTAAATGGGCCCAATAACTAACGACGAAAGAAAATCACAGAAAAACAAAGAATCAAACCGTTTTCTCTCTCAG